GGTGCTCTTATAGCCTATGGGTTAACTATTTTGGTCATTTTAATTTTTTAGGTCTAGTTTGTGATAAAAACTTTAAAAAATCTATTTGAGAGAATTGCCCTTATAATAATATATATTATTTTATTTTAATAAATAATTTTTTTTTTAATTATATGTTTAACTAAATTAAAATTTGTATTAAAATATTAGTATAAAAATAGTAAACTTAACCTCTAAAAAGAGTATTATAAAAATACACTAGATTTTGACCCGCGCTTGAAAGCGCGGAATTTATTTATAATTAAAATATATATAATTGGGTTATGTCTTAATTTAAAGAATGTTTTGGTATAAAATCAGTTTATCAAAATTTGTGGTGACGATTTTTTTCTTTAGTTTCAGTTTTTATTTTTAGATTTTGGTTTTTAGTTTTTATGTTTTTATTTTTGATTTTCAGCTTTTGTTTGGGTTTTTTTTAGATCCACTAAGTTAGTTTGAATTGATATTACCAACAAACAAATTTCAAATAATCGAACAACTAATTTAAAACTGAAAAGATGACAAATTTTTTTTTAAAAAAAATTGCAATAGTTTATTTTCTAAATAAACAAAAGCAAAAACTATAACAATATGTTATTCAGAACAATGCGTTTTCAGCTTTTGGTTTTGAGTTTTAGTTTTTAGAATTAGTTTTTGGTTTTGCTTACATTTTTTTTTAAATCAGTAAATTATTTAAGAAAAATAAAACAATAAATTATTTAAAAGTTACCATTGAAATTTATCAAAAAAGTGATTGTTATTTAAAATAAAAAATACAATAACATGTTTTAAAGTACATAATTTAAATAAATGATTAATAATAGACAATTTTGTTTTGTTAAAAATATTAAATACATTTGGGCCTGGAAATAATAATTGATTTTTTGATCCATTAAGATAGAAATTTTATTAAATGTTTTTTGGAGTTTTTCGTTAATAGTAAGCCTAAAAATCAAACCATATAATTTGTCATAAAAACAAAAGTAAGCCCAAGACTTCCAACAAATAACCATCGGTTTAATTTAAGTAATTCGGTTCAATAACTATATGGCTTGTTGTAACATTCTAGAAAGAGTCCAAATTTAAATGACAATTTGTATTAATAGATAAAAAGAAAGACTCTATTTTAATAGAGTAGATTTCCATTGGTTTCATATAATTATTAAATTTCCATTTTTTAAGGAATTGTTAAGATGCTAAATGGTGTATTACGATTTCCACATTAATATAATTAGTAGATTTCCATATTCCATATTTTGATAATATATATTCTTTTAGAACATTCCATATTTGTAAAAGAAAATATGTGTTTTTGGTAGACACATAGATATCTGCCGTATTTTGAAGATACTTTACATTAAGGTCGTCATATTACATTAATTGTGTTGGTTTAATTTTAGTAATGCGGTTCAATCAATTATAAGACTTATATTATTTGTAACATTCTAGAAAGTGTCCAAATTTAAATGATAATTTGTATCAGTAGATAAAAAGAATGTCTATATTTTAATAGATTAGATTATTCGGATGGATACATATATTAGATTAGATTTCCTCTTCCAGAAAAACTTTTTCCATATTTGCTTAATTGTTGCCAAATTAATACGGGCTTGTTTGTCACCAATTTGTTTTGTTTGTAGCCCAACCGAGTTCCTTATTCACATGTGTCCGAAATGCATGAAATTTTTAAATGCATTTCTTTAACATTTCGTGGCTCTGTGCCAAACCTAGCCACGGACGTGAAAGAAGATTAAAGCGATTGGAAAAACAAATTGTATTATTTATTATATGTGTGTAAAAAAAACAATAGCCAGGGCAGGTGCGCACATACAAACAGACTCGGGAAATGAAGATGTAAAAGCCTTTTTAAGAATGGATCTTTCTTAAGCCAGTGTAGTGTGTGTATGTAAAACACGAAGCAAACGCTTCAAAACTTAAATAAGTCAAGTATATATGATACTAGTGGTTGGCCCGCCCTACGGGCGGGTGTGTTTACACTAAATTTAATTTATATAAAAATATTTTAATTTTATAAAATATTTGAAAACTAATTTTCTAATAAATTAATAAATATTTTTTCCAAAGATAATATTGTAAATTTTATTAAATTTTACTGAAAGAATTTTTTTTAGTGAATACAAAATTATTAAATCAACAAAATTGAGGAAAATGTAATATTTTATATTTCTTCTATGATTTTTATTTCAATTTGATATAGTTGAAAAAAAATCTAAAGTATAAATATTTTTTTAATAGTGTCCAACTTTAATATTATTACATTAGTAATGTTCTCACGATAATTACCTAATTCTTATCCAAGCTAAATTAATTGAAATATAATATAATGCGATAAAATTGTAAAAATTTATATTTTAAAGTACTATATAAATAATTTTAATAATGTCATAGATAATATATAATATATTTTATTTAACAATAAATTATGTTTTATAATATATGTTTGTTTCAGTTCATATTAGATTTCTAATTTATAACGAAATTTATTCAATTTTTAATATTTTATTAATTATGCTTTGAAAATTTTTTTGCCAAATTACAAACATGTACACCCATGTCTAAATGTTACACTAACTCTGTTTGATACCTTTTTCAGATCATATTGAACTCAAATTGAATTAATATCCGTAAGTAATAAGTTATATTGGAGAAGACATGAACACGAAGTGTATTCAAACCAAAGTCTATTATTAGTTACTTTCCAGACTTGGTTACTATATATTTTTTCCAAAGTGAGACTAATGTTGTATATCAACATTAAAACATGCATTCTAATGGATGATGCAGTAGATTTCAAAAGGTGACACTACAATTTTCAGATTAAAGAATTAAAGCATAAAAGACTCATAATTATAATGATAATTTTGACCATGAGATCCCACCAGAAGAGATTGCAAGTTGAGGCACTCTCAGGCTTTACAGTTCCTACATGCGCAAAAACATATGAAACAATAAAATTCTAATAGTATTTAAACGAAGTAAGTGTTCGCAGACGATTGCACAGAGCTTGCCTGAAACATGTCAACCGGTGAAATGTAAGTTTTTAGTTTAGGAACAAAACACGTGACCAGTAAAAACTATAAATCCAAACTAAATTCAACCTCTTCCTTTCATCTCCTATGTTGTATGCTGGATGGTGATATAGTCAGGGTGTAATAAAGGCCTTGTAGAACCAGTTTATAAGTTATCAGAAAGTGTTGTACACTTAGATTTTTAGAATCGAAGATGGTCACCTTGTTTGCGAAATATTAATCTGCTAGATACCTTTGACGTCTCTGGTGGTACTTGATGGGCCAGGTCAGTTGATCCCAGCCGGGGATCATTTGGTGATGACTTCTTTTGTAGCTTCAAGTGAGCTGTGTGAGTTTGCAGGAGTCTTTACCTTAACCATATTGTCTGAGAAAATGTTTGATTGCAGACTTGCAGTGACTATTTGTAGTATTTCTTGTGAGAGGATACATAAGAACTGGTTGAGAAGGTGTAAGTTATGAAATTATATTCATGTTAGATGACTTTTGTAATTGCCAATTTTTATTACACGTAACTCTGATCTAATTATTGGCATGGCTCACTAAATCGGTTTGACGCACAAATAAAAGAACTATTTGCAAAACACTTGCAAATAAACTAACACTGGGAGTCATTTTTAGCTAATAAGTTTGATGGGAACCTAGCAGGAGGTAGAGGCGGTCCTGAGTCCAAGTAAAAGAAGTTCATGCTTCCAGCCGTCATTTTTAAAAGTGTTTAATGGTCACGAATTTCTAAGAACCGTCAATAGTCTGGTGGTTAGTCATGCATAGATCCATGTGAGTAGGTACATGTGAGAGAATATGGTTTTGACGCCAATTATATGCAATGTTTTTTTTATATGTTTTGTCAACTATTTTTTTTTTTGGACTTGTGGTTTTGAAAAACCTAGGACTGGCTTTGCAGGAGGTAAACTACAGTGATGTTAGGCAACCAAAATGCAAAAGTGTCAGTTTCCATAGGTCTTGGGGGAGAAAATTAAATGTTTCAGATTTATAAAATTCAGACAGTAATGATGTTCATGAGATTTCTCGGTAAGAAGCTATAATATTAATATTAATATTGGTGGGTACCTTAGAGGTTAATACTTAACTGTATGTTTATCTCCTAAGAAAATCTTAAACTTAATATATTAGTGAACATGACCTCGCAAGATCTAGTGAATCGCTATATCACAAATTCGGAATTACAATAAGGCTGATGGGTCTTCGACTTGAACTCGGTGAACGCATTGTTTCGTAACCTATCTTGTTTATCCGCTTATATTTTAGTGATTTATGTCAAAATTTTTTTATATTTATGTCAAATTTCAAATCAGTCTAAATTGCTGTCTTCGAAAATTATTAATTTATTAAATATTCATTTATAGAGGTTCTTTAATAACGTGTGATTGCATTTAACATGATTGCCAATAAAACGTGTGATTGTATTGTTCATTTCATGAAATATAATTTAGTGTAGTCAGTGGATTATTTAAATACTAATAATAGTGGTTTATTATAGTTGCGTGTTTGAATATAATAAGTGATAAGATGTGATTCAAATGAAGAAAAAAAAATATTTGTTTAAATAGTAGCATGGCTTTCATTAGTAATTTTTTTTTTTTTAACAAAAGGCTTCATTAGTAAACATTTCTGCATTTTTGCTAATTACCTTTTGGCCTACAGCAGCGTTTTTTAAAAGAAAATTTGATAACAACTCAAAAATTTTGACGGTTCTTTAGTCTTAATTTAAATAATTGGTACTGCAAAATGTGATTGCAAAGAGTGAAAATATGATATGATTTTAGTTTGAATACTGATGGAGACAGATGATGTTTTCTTATTTAATTCACTACCAGTGTCAAAAATGCCCAAGTTACATAAGCTGAGTAGTAACAAAAAACACTTCAGAGGTTCAATGCCCATGGCAGGACGTATTAGCAACGCCAGACACTCTCAATGTTGCTCCACCACTACCTCCATTGGACCAGAGCTAAACCACATTGGACTAAGCTCTTTGATGGTTAGTGTTCTGAAGCCAAGATCCGATCTTGTATGTCTGAAAATGTCTGCACATCTTTGCCCCATAACCTAATGATTCAAAGAAATAATAGAAACAGTATGTGTCATGAAGGATTTGAAAGAAAGACGAACAATAACTTGAAAAGGTATTTGTGCTGCACCAGCAATCAATACGGACGACGTTTGCACCGCCTTTATAAGCTCCTCATCATCTCCAACATGCACTGCTCTATTTGCTTCTACGTTGATTTGAACTGCAACATGACATAGAATATAAATTATAAGTGAATAAAACTATCCAAGGGAAACAACGCTTCAGTTTAGGATGCAGAACCTACAGCGCATTTGAAGATTGGGCTATCAGGCTTCTCGTATCCGACTTCTTAGGATACAATCATAGTTTCAAACCTGTAAAAGCAAAAACCAAAAGATGGCAAAGCTAACTTTCTCAGATTTCAGATTTAATGTAAAAAAGATTGCAAAGCTTACTTATCTATGACATTAAGATCCTTCAATAGCTTTCTAAGACGGGTATCGAAATTGGATACAACAGCCATATTAACTGCAGCCACCTTAACCCCAGTTTCAGAAATAAGCAAAAACGAATACAAAAATAAGAGAGACTTTAGTTCTTCCGTGTAAATAGTAACCTTCAGTATTTTTCAGTAGTGACAATGTCTCATAAGCTCCTTCTGGGAGATGCCACGCCTCACCATTCGCTTAATACTAAGAGAACAACATAAGCCAAAAGAAAAGCAATTGTTAATGGAAGATGAAGCCTATTTAAAAGAGCAGAGCTCAGGTTCGAGATATACTAACTTGGTAGCAAAAGATTAATGATCGCCACTCTGTTTTCAGTGACGTGATGAGAGTTAGGACAGTGTCTTGTAGGATTTCTATTTCAAACCACTTGGTGCGACCCGATGCACTCTTTATTTTGGTTGCAATGCAGTTACTATCAACCAGCCACAACTATGGGAAAAAATGTTACAAAAACTCAAGGTTCTAATGAAAGACCTGAAAAATATCTTATACAGGCAGTACCATTTCCAATATAGACATAAAAACAAAACTAAATGAGAAACATTTAGCCTGCAGAATACTTATGTCTCAGAATAAAGAAGAGATGGAGTCGATTGATTCATCACCCCACCGTGACAAAGTACAAAGACCTAGATTTGAGATTGAAATATTTAAGCAGAGTAAAGACGAAACCTTTTATCTCTCTTAGGGTCAACGACCCCAAGCTCACCGAGTTTATCAGGAGCCATGGCTTTCTTAGCCTTTATTGAATCCAAAGTCGAAGACCCATCAACGGAGACTGGGACGTCGGTGAGTTTGAAGTGGCTATTACTTCTTCTGACATCAAATTCACTTGACTCATAGATGGCCCCTTCCCTCAGCAAGTGGTTGAAAGTGTTGAACCTATGAGCACCAGTAGAACCGTGGATCAAGGTCGATCGAAAAAGGATGTACTCAGAGGGCTTCAATGGTACATACTCTTGCAAAAATATTAAAGTAATTAAAAGAAAGCTTTTCATGATTTGTTACCTTCTCATCGAGGCACATGAAATCCATTCTCGTAAGCTCATCAGATTCCTTAGAGACTTGCGACACCTCTGTCCTTCAAACCGGAGAAGTGGAGCTGAGTAATCGCCATTCTCTACTTGTAGGGTTGTCGCAAGAGGTTTGAGATTCCTCCTGAGGCCGAGACTGTATGTATACAGCCAATTCAATTGATGGGGGAGGAGAAAAACTTGTATTAATGAGGAGAAAGTGAGATGAATCGATTAAATGCCATTAACACTGAATTGCTCCAAGGAAGAAACTGATGGAAGACGATATGATGGGAGTTACGGTTTGCGAACACAGCGAACAAAACCCTACGAAAAATGCCGATGGATGTTGATTTTAAATTCAGTAAGCCCAAGACGTTATCAAGCCCAAAAACGTTAAATTATTTACGTATGAAAAAGACAAAGTATGAGGAGAGTGTCGACGTGTCAAAAAATGCCCCAACCTCTTTGCTGACGTGGACGCTTGAGAAGGGAGAAAACCTTGTTTTATTGTATAAGATATAGATATGAAAGATCGCAATATAGATGGTCCATCTATTCTTAGAAAGGTCACTGCTCAAGCAACAGTTTTTCATCTTTGGAAACAGAGGAATAATGCACTTCATAACAACATTTTCGTCGCACCGAGCGTAATTTCAAGAATGATCTATAGGGACGTAAGGAACATGATATTGGCTAGGAGGAATCGTAAGGATTTTCGATCGCTCCTTTCCTTTTGGATTATGTAATCTCTAGGCTCCCAAGCCATCTTTTGCTCTGCCTTGTTTTATTTGTTTTTGCCTGGGCACAGTAGTGAGATTCTATTTTGTAAAATCTGAACATCATTAATATGATATTAACATTCTTGGCAAAAAAAGACTCGCAATAAAAATCTCTGCTTTGATATTTAATTCTTTAACATCTCGAATTGTGATATATGGAAAAGCTTAAAAAAAATTGATTTCGCTATCTATATCACCAAAGTGCACTTATTTTTTCGGGAGCACATCCAGAGAGAACTCCAAAGTTAAGTGTATCTGAGCTGGAGTAGTCAAATGATGGATGACCTATCGGAAAGTAACTTGCGATACCGTGTAAGTGAGGTCAGAGCACGGGGAAATGTCATGTGGTGATTGTAGATCCTAAAATCCACACTAAGTATTATGTAGTGATCAAGAGTTTAGTCAGAAGAAGACAAATGATGTGGGGAACGATGCTCTTAAACACAACAATACAATCGGAATTCGGTTGACAAAAATTGACTTTATTGAATATGGGATTCGATACAAAGTAGTAAACAAGATCGAGAACAACAATGAAAAGTAGAAGTTGTGAGCGAACTAAAAGTTTATGGAGTGACGTCGATGTGATTAATGATATTTTCTAGGGTTTTTTCGTGTGTTGTGCTCTGCTTAAGGTTTCCTTTTATAGCCTTTTCTCTTTCTAACTGCTTCCGCGATCTTAGCGATACTATTTCGACCTCGTTGGGTCTGATTTCGACCTCGTTGGGTCTGATCGACATCGAGCTCATGATGATCTTGCATGGACTTGAGTCTACTTTAATTATTTGCTGAAATTGGTTCCAACAGTGATTGTAGGGTCTGTAAACATTACTCTAGAGCCTTGGAAATTTAACAGACCGACCGTTGGAACATGATGGGGTCCATGGACCGAAAGAGTGGGCATAGATGGCCTATTAACCATGGATGGTCGGGGTATTACACATTTGTTCTAGATAAATCATTTTGGGATGATAAGTAGTGAACTTTAAATAGTGGTTTCTATTAAGTTTTTGTTTAAACATCATAGACGATTTTGTATGTAAGACATCTTTGATGAACATACTTTTTCCATTACATCCGACGATTCTGTATGTATGACATGACATCAATTGAACCCCAAATCTAGTATAAAATTCACAATGATTTCACGATTTGATCAACCTTTGACTTTGAAAATAAAGAAGGAACTTGCAGTGGCAAGGACCGTTAAAAACTTGGGGATTAGGATGAGGTTTGAAGTTAACAAAAGACTAAAGGTTTAAGATAATCACCTTTTCAGCTTTGGGATAAGCACATCCCTTTGCAAAATTTTGGTCCTTCTATATTTGGTTACCATATAAGGTGTATCTCTATTCATTTGGTCTTAAAATTAAAAACCTCGTATGATAACGTGTGGGGATCCTTTTGTTATGTAACCACACAAGGCCGGATTAGGAGGGGACCACCAGTACACTCACCCGGACTCAGCTTAAAGTTATGTCAGTTAATGATAAAAATGACAAAATTTTTATTTTTTTCTTTACTACAAGGATTCTAAATTATTTTTTAATTAACTATAATGCATAAAAAAAAGTTTATTGCCTATGGGCCAACATACTATTTACCCGGCCCTGTAACCACACTTAGTTTTTATGTTTCTGTAACAAAGTGTCTTTATTGTCTAAATGCTGTCACTGAAACATGGAAAGAGGGAGGGGTTGAGACCGTCCCATGGCTGGATTCGCAACTATAACGAAACTTGGCATCATAGATGCAGACAAGCCCGTCCCAACTGCCGCAAACTATGACACCTTCCTAGCCTTGTGGTTCAACGTGATAAGCAGAGCATGGAGCTCAAAGTATAATGAAGTTCATATAATAATCCAAAAAAGTTTTAATAATCAACTAGAATTGGATTAGTAGTCCTCTTTTTTTTGTCATCCTACAATTCAAAATAAACTTTTTTTTTATCAATCAAAATTAAACTTAAAAAAAAAATCAATTTCTAAATTGAAAAAGGAAACATGAATGACACCATTCATATCTATACTATTATTTAAGAAGTAAATTTGCTTAGTTGTCATGTTCTCCATAAATTTAGGTAATTTTGTTTATTTATCATATTTTAATATTTATATATAATTTATTTATAAATAAAACAAATTTATATGAATATATCCTATTTTTAGAAAATAAGATAATTCTTGTGAATTATGTTTTTATCTTGAAATATATATTTTACTTAATTTTTAAATTAAGATATAAATTTTTTCATATTTATTATATAACTAAAACAAATTTATATTAATAATTTAATATTTTTCTAAGAAAATTAACTTCTTAAATAATAGTATAGGTAATTTTGTTTATTTATCATATTTTAATATTTATATATAATTTATCTATACTATTATTTAAGAAGTAAATTTGCTTAGTTGTCATCTTCTCCATAAATTTAGGTAATTTTGTTTATTTATTATATTTATAATATTATATATAATTTATTTATATATAAAACGAATTTATATGAATATATCATACTTTAGTAAATAAGATAATTCTTGTGAATTATGTTGTTATCTAGAAATATATTTTAAGAATTATCTTATTATCTAGAAATATACTTTTATATATAAAACTTAAAAAGACAATTCTTATGTATTATGTTGTTATGTCGAAAATATATTTTTCTATTATAAAACTTAAAATTAAAATATAAAATTATATTATTAATAATTAAATTTATATTTTAGAAAATAATTCAATTCTTATGTATTATTATCTTGAAAATATATTTTTCTATTATAAAATTTAAAATTAACATGTAATAAATCTATACTATTATTTGAGAAGTGAACTTGATGTTTGATGATTGGTCATATTTTTATGATTTTAAATAATTTTGATAATTTATCATAATTTCTATAAGTTTATATATAATTTATTATATATTTAAAACAAATTTATATTAATAGTATCAGATTCTTAGAAAATAAGATATTACTTATGTATTAAGTTGTTATCTTCAAAACATATTTTTGTATTATAAATTTAAAATTAAGATATAAAAGTTGTAGTTATTCTTATATACTATGTTGTTATCTTGAAAAATATACTTTTATATTATATAATTTAAAAGTAAAATAGAAATATTATCTATTATTAATTAAATATAAATTATTACTCAAGAAAAATTATTTAAGAAGTGAATTTGCTAATTCATTAAGTCCTCCATGATTTTAGGTAATTTTAATGATATGTCATAAATTATGACTCATAATTTTTATAACCTTATATAATTAAAAACAATTATCATGTTATATTTTTAGAAAATAAATAAATTATGCATTATATTCTTATCTTTAAAATATGTTTGCTATTATAAAATTAAAATTAAGATATAAAAATTACAATTAAATATAAATTAAGTTAAAAAATTGTATAAATATTATAATTAAATATAAATCAAGAAAAATAATTATAGAAATATATTCTTTTAAATATTTCTGAAGTTTGAGTTTTGTCATTAATAATTATTTGATATTTGATTTTTACTTTTTGAAAACATAAATAATAACTTATTATGCTGATTTTTAAATTAATGAAACATCAATTAATAAATATTTATAAGAGAATTATGCCCGCAACTGCGGGCAAAACACCTAGTTTATAAATAAAACGAATTTATATGAATATATCCTATTTCTAGAAAATAAGATAATTCTTGTAAATTATGTTGTTATCTTGAAATATATATTTTATATATATAACTTAATTTTAAATTAGGATATAATTTTTTATATATATTATATAATTAAAACAAATTTATATTAATAATTTTATATTTTTCTAAGAAAATTAACTTCTTAAATAATAGTATAGGTAATTTTGTTTATTTATCATATTTTAATATTTATATATAATTTATTTATAAATAAAACGAATTTATATGAATATATCCTATTTGTAGAAAATAAGATAATTCTTGTGAATTATGTTGTTATCTTGAAATATATATTATATATATATAACTTAATTTTAACTTAAGATATAATTTTTTATATATATTATATAACTAAAACAAATTTATATTAATAATTTTCTATTTTTTAAGAAAATTAACTTCTTAAATAATAGTATAGGTAATTTTGTTTATTTATCATATTTTAATATTAATATATAATTTATTTATAAATAAAACGAATTTATATGAATATATTATATTCTTAGAAAATAAGATAATTCTTGTGAATTATGTGGTTATCTTGAAATATATATTTTATATATATAACGTAATTTTTAAATTAAAATATAAAAATTATTATATTTATTATATAACTAAAACAAATTTATATTAATAATTTTATATTTTTCTAAAATAAGATAATTCTTATGTATTATGTAGTTATGTTGAAAATATATTTGTGTATTATAAAACTTTAAATTAAGATATATAATTTATTTATAAATAAAACGAATTTATATGAATATATCATATTTTCTTCTTATGTATTAAGTTGTTGTCTTGAAAATATATTTTTCTATTAGAAATTTAAAATTAAGATATAAAAATTGTAGTTATACTATAATTGAAATAAATTTACACTAATAATAGTATATTCTATAAAATAAGGTAATTCTTATGTATTATGTTGTTATCTTGAGTATATATTTTTATATTATCTAATTTAAAGGTAAAATATAAAAATCATTTATTATTAATTAAATATAAATCATCACTCAAGAAAAATTATTTAAGGAGTGAATTTGCTGATTCATTAAGTTCTCCATGATTTTAGGTAATTTTAATTATATATCATAATTTTTATAATCTTATATAGTTATTACATAATTAAAATAAATTTATCATATTATATTTTAGAAAATAAATAACTTATGTATTATATTGTTATCTTGAAAATATGTTTTTCAATTATAAAATTTAAAATTAAGATGTAAAAAATTATAATTAATTAGAAATTAAGTAAAAATATTTGTATAAATATTATAACTAAATATAAATTAAGAAAAATAATTATATAAATATATTTTTAAAAATATTTTCGATGTTTAAGTTTTGTCATTGATAATTATTTGATGTTTCATTTGTACTTTTTGAAAAATAAATAATAATTTATTATGATGATTTTTAAATTAATGAAACATCAGTTAATAAATATTTATAAGAGAATTATACCCGCAAGTGCGGGTAAAACACCTAGTAAGTCATAACAAGACCAGGATTTAATATAATCATCTTAAAACGTCGTCGTTTTACATATTTCTTTCCCAACCCTTAACCTCGTTTCTCTAAACAAACCTCAACCATCTTCTCACCTCATGTCTCATCATCCATCTCTGTCTCTGTCTGTATATATACACACAAACATACCCATTGACTTTTTAAAAAACCTTCAAGAAGATGGAACCAATCACGAGTTCCAACGACCTCCCATTCTTCTTCTCCCTCTTCCTCTTAACCTACCTCCTCGGTTACTTAGGGCATTGGTATTGGTGGGATAGGGAAAAGTCCCTTAACTTTTGTTTTGTTTTTTTTTTTAGTCGGTTTTAATTAAGGGACATCCCTTAACTAAGAGATTTTCTTTATTTTTTCCTCTTGGTTTCCGTGTTTTCACCTTAAGGAATGTCTTAAGGGACTACCAATACTAATGCCCTTATTCCTCTTCCGCACATGGACCCCACCCTCTCGTCCCTTAGCCTCCAGCTGCTTAATCTCCCTCCTCCACGGCGTCTCCGCCGCCTACCTCGCCGCCAACGCCCTCATCTCCGACCCCACCCGCGGCTTCTCCTCCCCCAACACCCTATCCCAGAACTCCGTCCTCGACTTCAGCTCCGCCTACTTCCTCGCCGACCTCCTCCACCTCGCCGTCTTCCCCTCCCCCGCCGGCGGAGACGGGCTCTTCGCCGCCGTGCTCTTCTTCTTCCTCACGTGCCGTATTTGGTATCTCACGGCGCGTGCGCTTTACTCGCGCTCCTCATCGTCGCCGAGGCGACCAGCGCGTGTCAGAATTCGTGGACGCTTGCAGAGGTGCGTGGTCCAGACGTGCCTATCGCGGCGAGTCTGCGTCGGTTCGTTACGGTGCCGTTTTACGCATCTTATAGTGTTTGTAGGTGCGTTTTAGCGCCGATGCTTATCGTAAAGATGACATGGTTTTAAGTCAGTGGAGGCGCTGATGGCGTCATACTGAGATGGGTTTGGGTATCGTGGATCGTCGTTATTTAAAAACACAAAAATAAAAATGAAATTTCTAAAGAAAATGTAAAACGACAGGTATACCTGTCATTTAAAAAAGGAATCAGAATCTAGTTGAGTCTAAACTAGGATTAGACAAAGATCCGTGCCATGCACGGGATGAAAACTTTGTAATTTTCTTTTTGAAACTTACATGTAAAAAACTAAGCAGATATGTTTGTTGTTACACTACAAAATTTAAAAAATCAGTTACTGAATTAAAAGAGGTTATTTTCTCTGTTTTCTAAGCATAGTTGATGTTATGAAATAGATAGAAACACAATACATTTAATTAAAGGGTTTATCAAGTTATTACATAGGAACTAAGAAAAGGGTTATGATTTATGACAAATTTTTAAGGAATTAACCCAAATTTGTTGATAAGTACTATGTATTTATATGGTTTGTGCGACAAATCAGTTAGAATAATCTATTTGGTAAATTTAAGAACATTATTCTATTTATAAAAATCATATACTGACAGATTTATAGGAGATTTTTTTCTGCTATAAAAGATTTATTTTAAAATATGTTGTGTATTCTAAAAGGATATATACTACCTAATCTAGAATACTGCATCATGTTTACATTTAATATGGAATATAAAATAAATATGTTGTGATGTATTGTTTGCCAAGAAAAATATTCATTACTACATGTCTTTATATAGTGAGAAAAAGTAATCCTTTAAATAAAAGATAAAAACGATAATAAAACATGTTTATTTTTAACTATGCCTATAGCTTTGTCAATATGCATATAGTTATGTATGATATACACAAAAAGAACATTATATAAAAGTGATGAGAAAATATCCCTTATATACTAAAGTACAAGTCAGTTGGCCAGTTATATTCTGACATATGGTGTAAGATATAAAATTAAAAAATGATTAGAAAATTTTAAATGCAAGAACAGTTTCGTAATTCTATTTTATTATTTTCTACATAAATTGTTAAATCCCTAATATTTTTCAACTACATCCACGATCTCGTAACTTTTGAACTGCTAATATTGTTTATCCCTTATATTGCAAAACATAAGTCATTCAAAAAAAAAAAAAAAAATATATATATATATATATATATATATATATATATTTCTCAAACATAACACATTTCTCTTCGTATTCCACTATCATAAAGACTCCTCTGCAAACAGAGAGGTAGACAAATATAATAGCAAGTACACATTGAACACAATAAAGTTGACACGACCTATATAAGGTTGAAGACGAAGATACCTAAATTTCAGAGATTGGAATTATATTCTGAAAAATCTCCTTGTACACCACATTCATAGTTGAATCTTGAGGTTTCCCATGCTTATCAGTGATAAGAATCTTTAATCCCTTTCTTGAATTGACCCGAGACACATCAACATACAATTGTCCATGTGAAAATACATGTCTAGGTAGAAACAAAATGTTTGACCTTGGCTTTTATTTATGTCATTGCAAATGAAACTTTCAATGGAAATTGCCTACGTCTCATCTTGAAAGGTAGCTTAGAATAATTCGGTGAAAGGAGCAAACAATGTAACAAGACCTTTTCACCAGCTTTAGTCCATGTGATTACCTTAGCTTGCATAACGTGGTTAGCCAATTGTATTATGTGCAGCTTTGTCCCATTGCACAAACCTTCGTTAGGATATATATTCCTTAGTGACATCACCGGTGTTCCAACCCTTAGCATGAGAGAATGATTGGGTAAGCCTGAAGTTTTTATACTAGGCCTCGGCATATAAACCGGAACCAAAAACCCGAACCGGAACCGACCGAAATTAACCGGTTCGGTTCGGTTATGCCATATATACCCGACGGGTTTTACTTTCTTTACCCATGGATATCGGTTCGGTTCCGGTTCCTACCCGGAACCGATCGGGTACCCAATCTACCCGAATCCAAATCATTAAACCATATTTTCCTAAGTTTCCTTTGTTTGTTCCACTTCCCCGATCTCTTGATTCTCTCCGATATTATAGGTAGGTTAATGATGTTCAATACAAATACAATTCTTGAATCCTCCGATCGTTTAGGTTCGCCACCATCAGCGTCATCTAGAAACAAATCTGCGGTATGTCTCTCAAGTTTCTAAGACCCTACTCTTGTTTTTTTTTTTTTTTTTTCTGATATGATTTGGTTCTCTCTGGGTCTGTGCTTTAAAGCTTAAGCCGTTTTTGATTCTCTGTCTCTAAGTCTTTACTTTTTTCTTGTGTTTTTGCTTGACAACTCGTCACTTTGATTTGTACAGTTTTTTTGTTTGCTTGACAACTCATCTCTCTGATTTGTACAATTTTCTGGTTTTCTTATTTTTTTTTTACTTTTCAATTGTGAAGCAACTATCATGTTTCATTTGTTCTGTCTGGAAATTTTACAGACTTAATATTTTCTTCCGTTGGCATCTGTTGTTAGCTCTGTGTTTCTCTGTTTAGAAAGCACCTGTCTTGGGGATATAATATTATTCTTGTGTTAGTCCGTATCTTGAGACTTAGTCTTTTGAGTTCTGTTGTGTTATAGAAAAATATATTTACTAGATTGCAACTAATACTAAAATTTGCATCATCTTAACAACATTAAGCTTGAAGTTTATTTGTCTTTAGCCGTGACTTAATTGTGTTCTTCACACCTTATATGATTTTTTTATTTAATTGTGTGTATTGAATCCCACTCGGCTACATATAAATATATAATGTCATTGTCAAGTTTCTCAAAGAAACTGAAACCAATGTAATTGAATTTTTCATTATGTTTTTGGTATGAAACTGAAATCAATGATCACTGATGTAGATGGCGTCTAATGAATATCATCAAGAGGCAATGGGTGAAGATAGTGGACAAGAGACAGACCAAGACGTTCAAACACAGCCAAGTCATGGGAATCAAGGCAAAAGAAAAGACAAAGGAATTAGTGGTTCTACTCAAGGGTTAAGGAAGAAAACAAGATCTCCGGCTTGGGAACATTACACTAGACAAGAAAAGAACTACGAAAAATGTAATTGTCGATATTGTGGGAAAGAGATGTCTTGTCCATCACGGTCTGGAACTTCTAACCTGAATAAACACTTAGGCGTGTGCAAGTCATACTCTGCTTGGAGAGCTGCAAAGGCATTTACTGAGGAGCAGAGTCAGACACAGTTAAGTCAAAATAAAGAAGGGGATCTTTGTTTCGGTAAGGTGACTGAAGCAGTGTTCCATGAAGCTACAAACGAGATGATCGTTTTAGCTGAACTGCCATTAGCTTTCAGTGAATGCCTAGGCTGGAGACATTTCTGCAAGAAAATGAACCTTGACAACCCGCAGTCTCGCAGATCATGTACAAGAGATGTAGTGAAGATGTATGTTGAAAGGAAAGCAGCTATGAAGAAAATTCTTGGAGAGAACAAGCAGAGATTATCACTCACTACAGATATATGGGTTGCTCCTTTTACAAAAGCCAGCTACATGGTAATTACTGCACACTTTATTGATGTCAATTGGAAGTTAAAGAAGATGATCATTGGTTTCAAGAATGTACCAGATCATACAGGAAAGACGATCTCTAAAATGCTTCTAGGTTGCCTATCTGAGTGGGATATAAAGAAGGTATTTTCTATAACAGTGGACAATGCAACAACAAACACTTCGGCTATGAAGAGGTTTGGAGAAGGATTCATTTTGCAACATGGAAATGAAGCATTGGTTCTTAAAGGTGACTTTCTACATATTAGGTGTTCAACACACATACTGTATCTGATTGTGAAAGATGGTATGCTGGAGGTTGATGATAGTTTGTCAGCAATCCGAAATGGTATTCAGTATGTAAGGTCTTCAGGCAACAGACTCCAGTCTTTTGAGTTTCGCGTGGACACGGGAAAGATAACAAGGGGAAGCTTACCATTAGATGTTGGTACCAGGTGGAATTCAACCTACCTTATGCTCGACCAAGCATTTAAGTTCAGATTGGCATTTGAGAAAATGGAGGCTGAAGATAAACCTTACAATGACTACTTCTTGGAAACTGTAAAGGGGGAAAAGAGGATTGGGCCACCAATTACTCGAGATTGGGAAGAAGCTGAGAGGTTGGTGCAATTCCTTATCATATTTTACAATTCCACATTGATTCTTTCTGCTTCTTCATCCATTACTGCCCATAAAATCTACAATGAGATAGTCACTATTACTAGGAATATTAGTAAAATAGTTACTGCTCCTGGTCCTGATGAACAATTACGATTGAAAGCTTTAGATATGATGGGGAAATTGCGAAAATATTGGAATCCTTTCGCAGAAGCAAATGATAATCCGAAGGCAAAAGACTGTGTAATGAATAGGCTTCTAATTGTTGCAAGCGTTTTTGATCCAAGGAAGAAGATGAACTTTGCTAACTTATGTTTTGAGATGCTCTATGGGAAAGAGAGCATTGAGTATACACTGTTGTCTGAATCTATATTGGATATCTTGACCCGTTTGTATGATGAATACACTAGCAATGAGAAGAAGAATAAACAAGGAGCTTCGTCTTCTTCACAGTCACAAGGAGCATCGTCTCAAGATCAGCTTAGAGATGCAGTTTTTGAGGAGAGAGTGCTTGGAAATGGTGTCGGTTATGAGAGAATGGATAATCTTTATGAAGAGCTAGTACAACAAACAGGAACTCAAGAAACAATAAGTGAGTTGGAGTTGTATTTAAAGGAGAATGTGGAGACTCCAAAACTGATGAAAGGTTCTGATTATGATGTCCTCTCATGGTGGAAGAGAATCAGTCCTAAGTTTCCTATTTTATCTTTAGTTGCTAAGGATATTCTTGCAATTCAAGCATCTTCTGTTGCTTCAGAGTCAGCGTTCAGTACTAGTGGGAGAGTTTTAGATCCATCTAGAAGCTGTTTGACACATTATATGATTGAAGTGTT